AGGGACCCGGGGCGCTCGGAGGGGCGCGCGGACCCCGCTGCCCATCGCGGCGCTGCCGGCTGCACGGCCGGGACCACGCGGGGGGCGGGGGCTTTGTGACATCACCGGGCGGGGCGGGGCGGGACCCGCTTTGTGATGTCACCGGGGCGGGGTGCGGGGACGGGGCGCCACCGGGTGGGCTAATGGGGAACTGCAGGGCGGGTCCGGTGTCCCCCGGGACCCCTGCGAGCTCTGGAGTAGAATACCGGCTTGTGACACTGTGACAGGTATGACCGCGACCGCAGAGTCCCGCGCACGGCCCCACCAGGAGCACGCGTGGACTCCGAGCCCGGGCCGGCCGAGCGCCCGGCTATTCCTTACACCCAGTGGCTTCTGATTGACCTGGCTGTGAAGGGAGTCAGACCCAGTGGAGTGCTGGACGCCTGATGCTTGCTCTGGCTTCTTTGTCTTTAAAATGAGCACAGTTCTTCATTTACTGCCTCAAGACTCAAAAGCAGCGACCTTGAAGGAACCCAGTAAGACAAGGACGACAATCATTAGCCTCTAGTCTTTTGTTTCTCTGCATACTTTGGAAGAAGTTAAAGTCTAACATGAGCGTTAATTTAATCTGTTCCTGCAAAAAATCTGTTAATAAAGATGATTGGCTGAAGCCGGGGTAGCTCTGTAGATACTGTTTCTTCCTCTTCAGCCCTAGGATTCTACCATCCTCTACACTGTTTCTTAGTCCACACACAAAGTGTTGTGGATACTGTTTTTTCCTCTGTTACAATCCGGCATAGTAGGGCCAGGAGAGGTAGCTCGGTGCTCTGAGCGCCTGCTTAAGCAAGCATAGGGACCAGGGTTCAATCTCTGCACTACATGCTGTGCCAGCCCCAGCCTCGGGCACGCTGAACCAGCCAATGAGACTGCGCTTGGTGGTGCACACCTGTAATCCCAGCGCTGGAGAGGCTGCAAACAGGAGGATCACTATGAGTTGGAGCTATGTAGTGAGACCCTGTACCAAATACATAAAAAAGAAAAAAAAAAAAAAGATCAGGCATAGTAAGAGAGTAGCAACTGATAGCAAAACAATTAACAAAAGATAAGTTAAGTTATATAAATATGTGCTCTGTCCACTTACTACTCTTTTTCTTAGGATAATATGAGATGACTGTCTCCTCACCTGATGAGAGAATCGATCTGGTGGCACTGGTTCTGCAGTGTTCATGTGTCCATGGCAGTTGGCTTTTTGGCAATAGTAGGGAGTGCCCAGGGGCCACTGAAGCATGGTACTACCATGGAGTATGACAAACTGAAACCACAGATGAAAGAGGCCCACTTGCACAATGCCATAAGGAAATGGCATTGTCCACCCTCTGAGCAGAGACCGCCACGCTGCCTGTGAAGGGCCAATATGAATGGAACAGGAGTGTGAGATGCAAGAGGAGCCAAGCTCAGCAGGAAGAGCCTGTAGCCTGTCTACAAAACAGCAAGGCTTGCCTTCCATATCCGTGTGACTACAGTTGCCTGGCCCTGCCACAGACTGCAGATACAGTGAGGGCCATCCTTGAGCTGGGCTGGTGGTGCACACTGGAATTCCGGCACTCTGGAAGCTGAAGCAGGAGGATCACTGCAGGTTCAAGGCCAGCCTGAATGACATAGCAAGACTCCGTCTCCCCAGAGAGAGGCAGACCGAGAGATAGTCAGAGAGAGAGAGAGAATCTTGCCTTCAGAGAGACTTATAGTCACCCCTGACAGGTGTGGTGGTGCACACCTGCATTTGCAGCAGCCTGTATTGGAAGACTAAGGCAGGACGATCACCTTGAGCATGAGTTCGGGCCAGCCTGGTGTATACAATGAGACCCTGTGTCAACAGCAAACAACAGCAAAAGCCCTCACAATTCCCTCTCAGGAAACAGTAAAAACGATTGAAATAGTGAGGGTGAGTACAAAGGCCTGGGTTCAATCCCCAGTACTGGAAAACAAATGGTGCAGCTGTCCCCAGAGACGGGTGATAACAGACCTCGCCCTTGCCCCCAGGATACCCGCATACCCACTACAGCTGACCCGGAGTCACCCAGGACAGAAGCACACATCGCCCAGCCCTAGCGCTGCCTGCCACTGAGCTATGAGCAAATATCCAGCCAGACAGAACTGTCCCGTGCACCTCCCAGGAAGCCACTCCCTCCTTGATAAGGTGTCCTCAAGACCTGGAAATTCTATCTCCATCGAGTCTAACTTTTTTCTGTCCCTCTCAATTGTGTCCTCTGCTACTGCCTTCCCCTCTGGTCTAGACTTCTGGCCTAGACGATCATACAAGCCTCATGACTGGTTTCTTACCTGGACCTCTCGCTCCTGCAATAACTCTTTTCTCCATATGTTAAAGTGAGCTTTTAAGACCTAAATCTGGTTCTATCTCTCCTTGTCAAAAACTTAGCAAAGTTGCCTCATTATTTCCAATTTAAGCCCAAGTGAAACCACTCACAATTCCAATCACTGTTCATGATTCAACCTCCCCTGTGCTACAGGGCTGAGAAATTACACACCAATGGGGTGCACGGAGCTTCCCTCTCCTCTATCCTTTGGTCTCCATCTCTGCTGCCTTCCAGTCCTGTAGATTCTCACTCCACAGCCAGTGCACTGATCTCCTTACACATTGTGTCTCTCATCCACCTCATCCCTGCCATAGCTGCCAGCCTTCCTTGGGAGCACTTTCCTCCTCTTGTTGAATTCCTCTTGTTGAACTCAAACCTAGAAGAACAAACTCAAAGCTGTTCCTGATGGCCTCACACCACTTTCTCTATTCCTGGTGGAGGAAAGGGGGCTACTTATTCCCTTCTCTACCTTTGCCCCACAGGGCTCAGTGATGGCATATATGACGTGTACTATAGTTGGTTGACCTCTGTGTATCCCTGGCCAGACTGTGAGCTCTTTGCAGGCAAAGTTCATGTCTTAATCATCTTCCTGTCTCCCTGCTCAGCAAATATGTGTTGAATGAAGCAATCTTGGAAAGTTTGACAAGCACCACGACAGGTGCCACATCTGATGTGCCTTTTCTTTCTCAGAGCCTGAATTCAAGCATCCTGAGTTGTGCTATACAAACAATAACGGGTTGAAGGGCCAGCCAAATAGCTCAGCGGATTAAAGCACCTGCTTAGACAGAGGCAGGGGCTGGAGGTTCAATCCCCAGGCCAGCTGTGCTGGCCCTGCCCATGAGGCATGCTGAGATGGCGATTCCCCAGCACTTGGGAGGCTGTAAACAGGAGGATCACTATGAGTCCGATCTACATAGTGAGACCCTGTATACCCTGTACTAAATACAAAAAAAAAATCAATAATAGGTTGAATCTTGAATATTAATGAAATGCGATGTTCCCAGCATGGATTAAATCATTTATCAGCATCTCCGTTTCCTTAAAGGAACTCACTTCTTCCTAAAAGAACCTACTATTTCTCGACTTGACAAGGAACACCAGCTAGTCAGCAGCAGATTGCGAGGTGAGGGGCCCGGGTAGGATTGGAACAGGTCTCCATGGTGACCAAGAAGACAGCACCCAGGATAAGATCAAGCAGGGATAGAATTGCAAAGCAGGCAATGCTCCAGAACCTTCGTTCTTGCTTCCATGGTAAGGAAGGGCCGATTTGAAAAATAAGACAGTGAGTCCCTAGAGGAAGTTCCGACACCTGTGTGGGACAGTGAGGTCATCACATGATTCCCCTTCTCTGAGGGAGGAGCAGACCATAACCATAGGTGCCCCCTGGGATTGCCCAAGGCCCACATGCCCAGGGGTCCATGCCTGTGGCTCTTCGTCTTGCCCCTAACTTTCTCCATTAATAGGAGAGCCTGTGAGAAAACAGATTTTCTTCTTCACTCCTTCCTGCCTAAGATAAAGACAAAAGGCTTAGCAGTGGACAGAGAGCAGCTTGGCGTTAGATCCCACCTCCGTGGTACCCTTCGTCACACTGGGTAGGTTGGAGCAGGTATCTTAATCTTTTTGAGTTCTTTAATTTGACAGGCAGTTAAAAGCCAGCTCCCACAGTGACACGAGAATATGTGAGACCTAGTTGCAAGCCTCAATGCAGATCTTGTCCCTTGGGATGCAGTTAATAAATCAACTTCCTTCTGGAATCCACCTTCCGGGAGGGTGATCTTTTATAAACTACTCTAACTTGAGAAGAAACACTGGGCTGCAAAGTTGTAAATTTCTTCCAACACGTATGAATTTAGGAAAAGTTGCTTCATCAGAGATGATGCAATCTGGTGTCCTGAGGAGTGTGACAGCCAGGAGTCCCAGCTGCTGGCCTAGACTCTGCCATTAACCAGCTGTGCAGCTTGGACAAGCAGACAAGTCGCTGCCTTCTTGTCTGTCTGGTATTGTAAGCTTCCTCCTGTGCAAAATGATGAATGTGGACTCCGTTATTTTCTGTTATCCTTTCTACCCCTGAGACTCTAAGGTGCCAATTGGCTTGTGTAGAATGGTCTTCTCAGAGAAGAAAGGAAGGAAGGGAGGGAGGGAGGGAGGGAGGGAGGGAGGGAGGGAAAGAGAGAAAAAAGATATGGTAGAGTCGGCCAGATAGCTCATTAGACTAAAGCGCATGCTTAGGCAGAGCACAGCGGCCGGGGTTCAAGCCCCAGCATGCTGTGCTGGCCCCACACCCAGAGCACACTGACATTGCAACTGAGCCTGGGCTTGGTGGTGTGTGCCTATAATCCCAGCACTTGGGAGGCTGAAAACAGGAGAATCACTATGAATCTGATCTACATAGTGAAACCCTCTAGACCCTGTAGACACTGTAGAAGACATGGTACATAAAAAAAGAAGATATGGTAAAGGGATGGTGGGGGAGGGAGACCCCGGGAAGTACTGGAATGTGTGAAGGACCACGGCATTGCTTTCCAGTGGGAGATTCAGCA